TAAAATTTCAATATAAAAAAATTAAAAAAAAATATTTCTTAATAAATATTGAATAAATATTAATTTAATAAATATTTTTGCTAGATGAAAAATAGTTATGATAAATAATATAAATAAATATAATAAAATTGTATAATAAAAAATAAATGTAATCAAATAAATAATATATAAAAATTAATAACTTAAACAAATTTTACATTTTGCATCATTAATTATTTTTTCAAAGCAATTAAGAGTCATGACAAATATAAATACATATATCTTACCGATAATTAAACCAGAGAATGATCAATTTAAAGAATGTAATCGTATGGCAAAGTCAAAATTATGCCATCTAGTAAATCAAGTAAATCTGTTGTTTTAAAATAAGAAATACAATACCAAAGTTGAAATACTGTGGAGTTACCTATTATTATTGCCCAAAAAATACGTTATATAATTCTATTCGAAGAATATGGCCAAACGCCTATCAAACATAGACAAACTTCTATAGGACAGATAATTATAGTCTTAAGCATCATTGAAATTTCTAATACTTTATATACGATTTAAAAAGTTTTAAACTTTTTCTTTAAGAGCACTTAATATATATCCACATTCTATAATGTGTTATCTTTATATTTCTGTTCCTTTTCTCTTCTCATATCAACTTTAACTACTAAATAACGTGTTCTAAATTATTGAATGTTTCTTTTTCGAATGATACACTAATATTCGCGACGTCTATAAGCAACTAATATTAACTTGTAATGTTTGGATCAATATCAATTATCTTGATGTCATTATCCAGTAATATTCAGCCAAATTAAATTGTAATTAAATTGTAACGGTAATATTACTGCTTAGATATCGTTTATCTTTTCTTTTACAATTTTTTTTCTTTCTTATACTTATATCAATTCTAGAAAGTTCGATTGAAAAATCTTGCTTAAATTATTTCAAAATTTTTTATATCTTGCTTTCTATCTTCAGTTGAGGAATATTGAAATAGATGCATCATATAAATTCGAATAATTTTATTTATAGCGACATACTAGCTCGATTATATTGTACATTTATTTATTTTTTTGATAGAATATTTTTATACAAAGATTAATTTCTATAATAATTATGATATAATATTAAGTAATTTATGTTAAGTCAAAAATAAAAAAATAAAATAATTCAAAATTTTTTCATTCGTATAATTATTTTGTCGCAAAAATATGAAAAAAACAATTCTGAAATATTATAAGTTTCATATGATACGTAATGTACATTTTAAATATACAATAAAGCAAAAATTTATCTCAAAAAATATTAAATTTCAAATTGTAATATAAATTCAAAAATATAATAAAATTTAATTAATTTTTGTAGTAAATAATATGATTACAAAAGAAAAGGAAAGCGATTGGCTAAAAATAATGTTATTAATGTCATCAAAATGTTTTTTATATTTTCTTTACTTTTGGGAATAGAATAAAATCATTGAAAACTAATTAAACGTAAATTATAATTAATGTGATTAGAGTGAATGCGTTTTTTGATAAACTAATATAATGATAAATAAAGACAAATATATTACTAATAAATACTAACATATTATAAATTAATATATAAATTTATAAATGCATTTATTTTAATGAATGTAAAAAATTTCGAAATATATTTCTGTAGCGATTTTTGTATCATGTAACACTTTATTTCATTTTTCAAGATGTTTTATTTTATCTCATTCAATTATTTTATCTTTTTTAATTTGCAATATTCGATATTTCATAAATCCCTATAAGTTTTTGTTTCTTCGTTTGGATATATTATATATATCATGTGAAAATTTGAATAAATTAATATAATTTTTTATCATTGTCATTTTTAAAATTTTAATATAATGTAATGTAATATGTAATTAATGAGATAACTTTGAAATTGTTAGAAATTACAATCTCTAATCTCTTGAAATTTTTTGTAAAAGAATGGTTATATCTATATTATTATTTATGTATTATTTATGTATTATTTACATTACAAATGATTTTTAAAGTTATATTAATTATGATATCTAATCTTAGGAACCAAAAAAAAAACCAAAAAAATGAAAATATTGAAATTCGAATAAAAAATATAAAGATAGTAAAAAGCAGTTAAAATATCTATAAATAGGAATGAATATAATCAAAAAGGAATAAAGTTACTGAGAAATATAAGAGAAGATATTATTTATAATGCTCTAATAACAAAGTAAAAGTGTAAATTAAGTAAAAATATAAAATATAATAGAATAAGATAATGAAATTGAAATATAGATTATAGTATCTATAAATATATTACAATTTATTATAATTTGTGATATTAATGACCAAAATAACCAAAATAATCAAAATATTCAATAAACAAAAATAAAAAAACAGTAACTATTTATAAAAATTTATAAAAATGATATATAGAAATATAGATAAATATAATAGACATAGATTA